AGAAAAAGATTATAGTTGTTTTCAAGGAAGAATGCTCTGCCCTCCTACACACACTCCAAATCATGCAAATGCCGTTGATTCTCATCAAAAGGTACATAATATTTGAATATATTATAGAAATCTATGGTGCACGGAAACTTCAAAAGATACGTTATAGAAATCAAACCGCGTTGGAAATCTTAAAAAATATTTCCTATTTTTGTAATAAAATTTCAAAAAATTAAATCGAACTCAACAAATTAACGAGTATTATTATTTTTTTCAAGTATATTTTGAATTTTCTTTAAATGGTGCAACACATCGAGTTAAAATAATAGTTTGATTAATTTTTTTATTTTAAATATATATAATATTAAATTAATAGCATTTTTCTTTCTATGATTGTCTCTTCTTTTAATTCTTTTTTCTTTTTCTTATTAACTTTAGTACTCGTCTCAAACCTGAATAAAGGATGTAGGTTGCCGTCGATTAACTGTTATTTAAAATAAATTTTCTTAGTAATTAAATGTAATTTGATTAAGAATTAATTTAATTTATTTTTAAGTACGATCAAACACATTGTTAAAAAGGAAATTGTCGAAGATTTTCATGTCAAATCTCTCTACGACTTTATGATGCCTCCATCGCTGCGACAAAATTTAAAATCTGTCTTCTTAAAATGTTGTCACTTTTTCACGATGTCTTAATTCTTAATAGAAATTTCGTTTGTTCTCTTGAGATTGAGATATAATTAAATAAAAGAAATCCAACCCAACAATGTATATAAAGAAACCTATTAAATAATAATTACTTTTCTTTTTTGGAATAAATTTTCTACTGCATGTTATTTAGCAATAAATGATGTATCTTATATAATTAATTCTTAATGAATTTGGTGGTTTAAAAATAAAGGGAATATTTATTTAATTTGCTATCAATTTAAAATTTAAGATCTCAATTTCAATTGTGAATGATGGTCACAAACAAATGACGCCTTTATATAAATTTCACAGATCAATAAATATATTTAAACACGTAATCATTCAATATCTAACTAATCTTCTTGCACTTTGAATAGCTTTATCATCACACAAGATCAACCCCGAGACCGCAGAGAAGAGGAAATCCCACACATGGGGCAGCTGGCGGACCTGGAGTGCAAGCCGTCTTCCTAGGTTCCAGCAAAAAATCGTTAGGGACGGGAGTTTTTCTTCCAAGAAGAAGAGGCACCGACTTCCAATTTAACAATAATTCAGGTATAAATATAATATGCACGTGTATAACCTACTACTACAATTAATGCACATAAAAATGCCATTCTATGTAGCAAATGTGCATAGATTCATGGTTTTTCCTACTGTGCAGCTTGTTCACCAGTTCTCATCCCTTCTCGAGTTGTTCAGACACTCGACCTTAATGTTCACGAACTCGGCCAACATATATTTAAACCCCACCAAGGTTCTCTCTCTCTCTCTCTCAACCTATTGGTCAAGTAGTAACTTGGTCCTTAAACTATCATTAAAGTTTCACATCAGTCCTTGATGTCAAGAACCATCTAAATCTTTATTAAATCGTCCCATGACCCCAACGACAACATACCCCGTGCAAAATTTCGTGTCATCCATCCAAGTTTGAAAATGGAGTATATAGTTTCAAAACGTTGGGCGTCATGCGAGAATTTAATAATGATTTATGAAAAATCAACTGATAGTTGATAAGAATTGGGGTTCCATCTTAAAAGGTCAACCTTATTAAGAGGAGTAACTCAATCCTTTATAAGTTGGTTTATGTTTTCATCTTTATTCGATGTGGAATTTTATCCCTTAACAATATTTGATACCATCTTGCTAAACAAGCAATAACTTTTGGACCAATGATACTATTTTTCTATATCAATCCATTATGAAATTTCAAATTTATTTATTTATTATTATTATTTTTTCATTTGCAGATCTTAACAAGGCAAATGATTGTTCTCCAGAGATTGTTCTCCCCAAGGAATGGACTTACTAGCTCTCAAAAGGAGTGTTGGGGGTGGGGGGTAGACAAGATTTCAAAATACAGAAGCTGCTAGTAGCAATTCATAAGCTTTACAATAATTCATTAATCTTGCTGTTTCATAATCGCATTCTGTAATCTAAATAATAACTCACATTATTTGCAAAACTCAAGCCAAATTTTACATGTAGCTTTGTCTCTATTTCCCTAAACTATACAAAGATTTTCAGGCTTTTTTTCCAAAACCTTAACCCTACATACATATTTGCTGCATGTATACATTCCAACACTATGTGCTGATTGTGAATTGCTTAATATCAGTCAGTCATGCCAGGAGAGCAGTAGCACTGTACATCTCCATATGATGTAAAGCCTTGCCCTCTGCTCTCTAATCTGCTTCGAAAACGACCGGAGCTTTGAGCTTCTCAATGTTGCTGCCATGATTCAAACAGAGTTTTGTTCTTTAAGGGTTTATAAGAAAACTTGAAATTGTTTGAAGTTTTATTTGTGGGATGGAAAGTTTCTTTGAGTTCTTTTGATTTATATAAGAGAAACATTCAAGATATGGAACTAGGAATTTGTGGTGAATGACAATTTGTAGGGACATTCAATTAGGATAACAAAGTAAACTTGTAACCTGTCTCCTTGCCCCCTACTCGAAAATGACTTGTTATTGATCGATTCCCATCTTGTCGTGGTAGTGTAATTATACTGTGCACTTCTGCAAACAAATGGAGTAATCCATCCTAATATTTTCCGTTGAAAACAAACAAGATACAAGAATAGTTTTGATACCATTTGTTGAGAACTCGATAAAATATTAAATACGAGAATAATATGAGCAATATAAAAATAATGGATCACATAAAATTTTTTTAACGTAAAAACTCATATCCGGGAAAATCACAAGAAGAGGTAGATAATTCACTATAATTAATAATAAGGAGTTATAAATGATCTTTTTTGGACCAATAACTAATTGAACAATTTGTCAATTTCAAAATGTGTTGTACACCACATATTTCAATATGTGTTGCAACCATGTGGGCGCCCCAGCTCTATCTCAATGCTTTCAAAATATTTTTTATCAATTCCAAAGTTCTTTTATTAATCAAACTCTCAATCCATAATAAAATTTGACACCTTAACAAATTGGACTTTCAAACCAAAATTATCTAGACTTCGTCCATGATTCGAACTTCCAAATTACATAGAATTTGAGTCACAAACATAACAAACTCCACCTGGCGTAAATTTCATAGCAAGGAATTAAGTCTTCACTTTTCAAGTCATTTCCCAACTTTTTCCACCATGCCCTTTCCTAGCACACCTCGTGAGGCATACTCAGCAACTGTAAACTAAATTCAAGCCCTGATTACCATCGAACTACCTTGTATGCCAACCTTGCTTGAATCATCCCTTTCACTTCCAACTCAAGTGAGTCACCAAACCTGTTTGAATCACTACGAGCACCATAGTCAACATGATCACAACTAGCTCGACCTGAGTTACATGAAGATTTTTCAATATTATTGCTAGAATCACCACAAGCAACCCGATCATAACCAACTCTACCTGAGTCACTGTTTATCAAACCATAAGCTGCAGCGCATCCAGCCATCCATTGCGATCGTCGAGCCTCCTAACACATATAACATAGACTTTTTCCGTCCCTTTAACACAACCCAGGCACCCTTGCTAACTTTCAAAACTCTGCCTCCACCGATATATCTGTACTCTTTTGAATCAAGAGCACTCAAAGAGATTAAATTCCTATTTATACCTGGAACATGTCAAACCTGACCAAGCGTTCTAACCATCCCATCAAACATCTTGATTTTAACATTACCAATTGCAGCTATTTTACAAAGCTCAATATGAAAAGTACAAGCTGAATCAAGTATCCAATCCTCTCCAAATTCGGAGTCACCATCGGTAATTCACAAAAGATCCACGTCATTATCTTCTTCTGCAAGATTGACATTATCAAAATTTTCTGGTTGTTTCTTCTGATCTGTAGTAGCAAACTTGATTCACCACTCATAGCAATCCCTCTTCGTGTGCCCCTGCTATTGCAATACCAACAGATTTTATAACTATTGCTTTCCTTAACTCCGTCCATTCCATGACCACTTGTCTTCCTCTCACGAATAACAAAACCCTTTGCCTGGGCCTTAGATCTGACGAGCAGATACTTCATCTTCTCTTTGGAATAAAGTGCATCATATACTTCGTCAATAGTAAAATATCCCAACTATAGAGAACGATGCATATGAAGGTGGTAACAAATATAACAATATCATCCACAAATCCTCTTCATCATACTTGACCTCCATGGTCACCAAATTAGCGATGATTTTCTTGAACACCGATAGATGATCTTTCAAAGATCCACCTTCTATCAGCGATAAGAATACAAGTACTGCTTCAAGTGTAACTTAATAATCAAACTCTTTATCATACAAAGTTGTTCCAATTTCAACCACAACCAAGTGGCACTTTTCGCCTTTATCACATCTTGAAGAATTTAATTAGAAGAAGATGAATTTGTGACAGGACTTTTCGATTCTTATGTTGCTTCTCTTTCAAAGTCATAGTTGTCATCCATGAAACAATTGAACCCACAAAAAAAAAAAAAAAACCTTCAACTCTGATATCATATCACTTGTTCTGATACAAGTAAGATATCAAGATCACTTTGATACCACTTGTTAGAAAATAAGTAAGACACTAGAATCGCTTTGATACCAATTTGTTGAGAATCCGACCAAATAATTAAGGACGAGAATTATATAAGCAATATGAAAATAATGGATCACACAAAAAACACAAGATTTTGTGAAGAAGTGGATAATTTATTATACCAAGAAACTAAAATTATTTTATAAGATTTGATGCGCTCAATCTAAATCTAAACATTTTTCTCAAGTTTTTAATGTATACAACAATGATATAATTGTTATGTTGAGCTACACCATGTGGAGTATATATAGAAACCCAATCTTGAAGTTATGGATGAAGTAGAATACAAAAATCAAGTCAGAATTCCAATTCTTCGAGAACAAGTAGCGCCAAGTGCCTGCATCGACCTTGTTTCTTGCAAGGCGCTTTGGCGGCCCAGGGCGGCGCCACGGTTCTGTCCTCTTGCAAACCATGTCAGAGCCCTGACTCTGTTTCAATGCTTCCAAAACACATTTTCATCCATTACAAAGTTTTTTTTACCAATCAAACTCACAATTCATGATAAAAATTGATCCCTCATCAAACCGGATTTTTAAACCAAAATTCTCTACATTTTTTGCATGAATTAAACTTCCAAATCACATAGAATTTGAGTCACAAACATAATATTCTCGAATTTCAGGAGGCTGATTTCTTTTGAGTATGAGAGGTGTGAAATTAATGTGTTCTATTCTGTTCGTAAACTCGTAATGGCAAAGTGAATGTAACTTTTACATTAAGAGTGAACCAATATAATTGCATAAGTGTATTTTGTATGTTTTCTTTTTCTAGTCCTGTTCGTTATTACTCTCGCATTTAGACATTAAGGTTGGGGAGTATGTTCGCAAGAATGAAATTCAAAAGAATTTAAGGACTATGCAAAACGAAGAATCTTACCAGAACTTGACACGACCCAATTCCGACAAAGAGAGCGCCTCCAAGAACGTGAATAGATGGTGATGTCTCTCGTAACATAGAATTTCTCACCCCCACCAAGTTAGGGTATGTTGTCCAAATACTCGTGGTCAAAAAGAATGATACAATTTGTTGATTTTAATAAATTATCTCATATTTTGTATTGTCTTGGCAAAAAATAAACGGGGAACAAAAATAGGCAAAAGATCAAGCTGACAAGATATTTTGGATGTATAGAGAACAGTAAATTTGTTGTTATAACTTGATTGCCTCGACAACATACGACATTTTAATTCTATTTTATAAAATATTCTTGTCCCATACCCATTTCGTATTGGTCCATTTTCTTGAAACAAGGACATCAGAGCTGTTTCTTTTCCTATTCAGTTTCTAAGGTTGTTTCAACTATATATAAATCGAGGTTTAATTTGTGACTAAAAGGTCATAAAACAAGTTCGAAAGAACCCATCCCCTTTAGGGATTTCTTGAAGAACCTCATATAAGTATCATATAAAGAGGTAAGCAAGTTCGACTTAAAATGTTTGCTACGCGTCAATATATGTTACTTCTTGAATATTCCACACAATAATGATCTTTATCATCCTTTCATTCTTTTCTTTTTTATTTTATTTTTTGAGCTCTAGTAGGTTGCATCTCTTCTCTCAAGAATTTTTTCTATTTTTCTTGATTTGGTAAATTGACAACATTAAATTAACTCTCACCCTTGACTTGTTTGAGGTTGTCATCATCACAACATATACCTAACAATTCGTTAATCTGAATAAATTTTATAATCGCATCAAATTATATAAATTTTCAAGCAGACATTTCATCAGCTTTTATCGAAATGCACAAATTTTTTACCTTTAATATATTATTGTTCATCGAACTTCTTCCTATCAAAAAGTTCCACAAGAAAATTAGGACCACCCCAACCCAAAATTGTCTATCCAAAGGCACGACCAGGATATGAGCAATCGTAGTCGATCAATGTTATCATTTAGAGAGACGAGATCGTGCCATAGCCTTTTTCCCCACCCGACCCCACGTTGACATTGAAATATCAATGGCAAGGCATATCTTAACCACACAATCATCACGTGCCACATGTCACATTAGATTCAATGAGATTATTTTCCAAGGCAATATTCCTATATTAATTGCAATTTCAATTGGGCCCAAACGTGAGCCATTTAGCAGACACAGTGGGCCTCCAACTCAACGTTAATGGCTTAAGACCATGACATCTGTGTTGGGTCATTAGCATCATGGGCCCTTAATGCATAACATTCAATGTCAAGGGCCCAGCCCCACGTGACCAGTGCTGAATTAAAGAGCAACACTGAAGATTCCCAACCTTATCTCAGTAGGAATAGGATGATGTGTCCCACATACTATGTCTGTTTGTACCACTCATAAATTGGGTTCTTAAGTACAAATTGTAAAATCTTGTGGGTGCATGTAGGAAATATTATGGAGGAGTTGAATAAGAGAATGTTTTGCATTATCACTTCTAAGAAACAATCTTGGATGCTGGAAATAATTATTGCACAAGGACAAGTAACAACATACCTACTTCGATAATATCACGCTTTTCATTTTATTAGAGGATATGTCGATAAATTGTTTCAAGGTTTTGATGATGTGCAATATTAGAAAACTGACATCAAGGATATTGAGCTCAAATTTGATATTGAGTTCTTTTGGATGGAACGTTTCAAATTGCTCGATGCATGCAAAAAGGTGAAAAAGAGTGTTCTCGAAGGCCATCTCGAATCTAGTCAAAACGTAGGGTGATTGGAGGGTTCTCTATAGAGTATCGAAGGTTCGAATTCCTGCAACAGCTGAAAGACAACATTTATGTTGGAAGACATATCTCTTATAGTGGCAAAGTTATGGTGTGCTTTATCGTCCATCCGGAAGTCATGTCTACATTTCGTAAAGGGAGGTCCACATGAAGGTGTGTATAAGCTGTGATAGTATTCGAATTTACCCGAATGGCGAATCAGGGGAAAAGACCGTCACTCCTCAAAATTAGTTGGACAAATTTCACATACATATTATGTATGTGAACTCATGTGAATTGAATAATACAAGATAGTCTAAATTTTGTATTAAAATCTATGTGGGTATGAATTTTGACAGATGTATAATCCAACCTAACTTCAATATCGTGAAAGTTTAGAGCAATTTCTATATGTGAAAGCTAGGGCTGCACAAAAAAATCATGAAATCGCAAATCGAATCGAAACCGTTGGTTCGAGTCCACGTGGACCTGCGATTTTTTTTATTCAAACCAAACCAAACCGTTTCATAATGGTTTGGTTTATGTTTCAACTTTAAAAAACTGTATAAAACCGAACCGAACCGTTTTTTAATCTTTTAATTAAAAAATTAATTTTATTAACTTACAAATTTTAAAGTTTGTACTTTTTAGAAAAAAATAACGATCTAACAATACAAATTACAACAAACCCATTAAAATAATCATATAAAGTAAATTAAGCTCATCATTATTGGCCGATAGTTTTATAAGTTCACAACACACGTCGTGACCCGATATCTAATCTAAACTAAAACTTATCCCAAATCATATGGAAAAAAAAAACATTTATTTTCAACAATCCAAATCATAATACAACAAAACTACAACAACAAATCACGTCCACAACTTTAGAAGCTACCTAAACTTTTATTTCTCAAACATTTGACGCTTGCATGCCACTGCTGAACAAAATACGATTCCCAACCGCAAATTGTTAGTCGCATTTTGCTTGTTAGTCTGCTAATTTCTACTTGAATCACCATATCTCTCTTGATAAGTCTTAGATTCTCATTCAAGTCATTTTTTTCATTATTCTTGCTTTTATTTGTTATTTTTAATTTATCATACACTTGTGAGTTGTGATTTAAATTAAAAAATGATTATTTGTATGCTTTGGTAATTTATTAACTTGTTTGGTGTTTAGAAAGAACTAAGGGCCTGTTTGATAGCCCTTTATTTTCCATGGAAGTTGGAATTGAAATTCCGTTTCCTACTTTTGTCGTGTTTGATTGCACTTTTTTTCCCNGCAACCAATTTTGAAAATAATTTATTCACGGGTTTCGTGGGAAAGATGAAAGTAATTTAATATTTGACATTACTAATTCTCGTTTAAACTTATACGTTAACTTATTTTAAATATATTATTATAATGTCGATAGGTAAACCACGGATTAAAATCGAACCAACCCGCAAATTATGGTTTGGTTTGGTTTTGTTCGAAAAATAAAACGGTTTGGTTCATGAAATGATTTGAGTTGAAAATATGGCACAAACAGTCCACACCGAACCACGTTCACCCCTAGTAAAAGCTATATTTCTTACTCTTTTTGCTTCAACGTCCTACAATATTTCTTGAATATTTTGTACAAGTACAATACCATGTTGGAATTTCAAACTATAATTCTTGAATGCATTACCATTTATTTCCTTTTAATTGAAGTACATTACAAAAATTGATCTACGATTAAATTTCAACTTTACAGAAGAAGGTCTTTAGAGTAAACTAGTTAAGAACATGTGTGAATTTTATTATGTTATTGAAATTTTGAAATAATACAAAAATACAACCACTTACAAATCTTAAATAAAATAATATTTTAATAGATGATGATTTTTTTAAAAACTAATTAAAATTTGATTATCAACGAATATAACATTCATTCACGTATTTTTTTCAAGACTATCTTTCATGTTGAATTTATTGCTAGTTATATCATTTATTTCTTTCATCAAAAACCTTGCATATAAGGCCTAAAAACTGCAAATTAATTAAAGAATTCCTTTCTTCTTTTAGGGTCAGTTTGATAGCAAGGGTGGAATGTAATTGCCTAGAACTTGTTTTATAGGGAATTGTTAATTAAGTGTATTTGATTGGTATAATTTTTCACTTGATCCATTTGACTTTTTTTTTTCATAAAAATTGTCAATTAAATGGATAAAATTTCTTACAATTGAGAATAGAATGTGTTTAGATTGCCCAAAAAAAAAAAAATTGTGTTCGTTTGACTTTGTTTTTCATGAAATTATCAATTAAAGGGATAATTTCTTTTATAATTGGAGGTAAAATCTATTTCCATTGCCAAGCAAAAAAAAAATGGAAAACTGTTTCCCACCAAAACCAAAGGAATTGAAATTCCTTAAAATCATGGAAAAGCCGTGGGCAAAACCAAGAAAAGTGATTCCAGGTAAAAAAAAAGGTTATCAAACAGGACAAAAAGTTGGAATTGGCAAAAATTTTCCACTTTCCCTAAAAAAGGCACCGTATCAAACAGACCCTTAATGCTTTCCATTCCATTCCTAATCTTTGTAGTTCAGATTTCCACCAAACACGAATCTATCTCTTCGTCCGAGAAAAATTGTGATGATCTTAAGAATATATGGGCAATTGGTCGACAGCAATGCTCTTTTGATATTCGAGGATAAGTTTGTTGAATTGCTCGATGGAGGAAATCGGGAGAGAGTTGAGAAAGTCAGTGTTAAAAGAGAAATATTGGTTAAGAAGGACATGGAATTCATGGTAGCTATGAATAAAGAAACAATTTTAAAATGTTTTCATGATGAGCAAAATATTCATCGTGTTCTTTCCCATCTATCTACTAAGTATGGTAAATCTCAACACGAACAATAATGCCATGCATGGGAGTCCTTTTCTTATTGAAATATCTACTAAGTATGGAAGATTGGACACTCGTTAAAAATAGTAAAAGACAATTATGTTCAATACTATGTATCAAACATGTAATATAAATTTTTTTTTACTTCAAGTTTGCCATTCAATACCGAAATGAGAGCTAAACTTTACCAAACTTGCATATTTCATGCAAAGTGAATGACGCCTTCTTAACCAATCGAAGCTGATCCTTCAGCCAACTTGAAGTCGAACCAAGTTTACATATATAAGTAGGGAGAAGGATTACTTTACTGTTTACTCCGTTTTGCTCTTATTTTCATGCATACCTAACAGCCATGATTCAGGTCTTCCCCCTACAGTTTGCACTCTGTGTGATATTTCTAGGACTGTACCCTGAAGCACAGAGCCAATGGATGCCAAATCCCCCAGTTTTTCCTCCACTTTGTGCAGCTCAGATTACAAGTGTAAATCTTGCGTGCTGTATGCTACCATTAACACATGTCCCTCCACCAAAGCCTTCCCCTCCCTCCCCTCCTTCCTCGGACAAAGGTCGAAGACACGGGCACAGGCACGAGCACGAACACAAACACGAACACGAACACGAACGCGAGCATGAACATGGTCACGGTCACGGGCAGAGGCAGAGACAGAGGCTGAGGCACGGACACGGACACGGACACGGGCACAAGCACGGGCACGGAGAAACGTCTATTGAAGATGAATGCTGTCTATGGTTAAAAGCAGTTGACAGAGTGTGTGTTTGTGGGCTGCTGATGTACTTGCCATCTTTTCTTTCTAGACCTTTACACAATTACACTTTGGCGGTTGATGATTTGTGTAAAATGACTTTTCAGTGTGGATCAAGCTGGATGGAGGTCTAATTATTATCTGTTTCTGTCAGAGAGGAATATATGATTCTTGTGTTTTATTGGGAGCTGCTTTGCTTTTGGTAACTTGGGTAGATAAGATATATGAATCTTGTAGTACTTGCTGTAGAAGAAACCGTCTCTCTTACCCAATATAGAATAATGCTACTTCTACCTAATCATTTCCAGATTCACGTACAGAGAAATGAAAAAAAAAAAAACAGTCTGTAAAGAGAGAGAGAAGGAGAAAAGAAAATCAGTTAAATTTTAATATAATGTCATGACATACATTAAACGATTATGTACATGTAGAATTGCTCTTTTCAATTATGAATATTTTGGTATAACTTTTTTTAGTAACAAATTTATAATTTTTTTAGCAAAATTTATTTTTGTTACTATGCTATAAAAGTGTAATATGTAAAGTCTAATCTTTAAACTTGTGGTATATAAAGTGTTAAGAGTTGATCTCATGTCTCTAGAAGAATTCATTCTCATTGGTGTGACAAGAGAACCTTAGTGGTGAATCTCTGAATTTATGATTGTTTAAGATTATCATAATTAAGGTTTTCTTGTCACGTCAGCAATGAGAAGTTTTTATCATTTCTCAATGGGGGAATGAGATCAGAATTATACAAAGTTTTAACACATCCTAAATAGACGGTACACTGTGAATTTCACTTTTTACTAAATGGATTGATGTCACTAGAAATGTTAATTTTATTTTTTTCATGAATTGATGCCATTAATGAAGACGAATATATGTATAATCGAAGATAAGAATCAACTCAATATTATAACAGATCGAGCTTGAGTGAAAATGAGTTACGAAGATAAACATGACCGATTATACTGACAATATATTTATAGTGCAGGGCCCGTAAATGATTGTGTACAAGTAACATTATTCAATTGAAAAATTATATATCATAATTGATAATACTTCACATATTAATTTTTTTTAACTAATTTTATTATTCTCCAAAAATTCAATTGCTATTTCATTCTCATCTAATCTTTTTTATTTTTTATTCATCTATCTTCCATAAATTAACATTCAATCAAGTTTATATATATATTTTTTGAACTAAATTATACATGTCTACTAGTTGTATTTATATATTATTCTCCTGTATGAAACTTTCTTGCAGAAAGGAAAATATTCATCCGTAATAAGAAATTGACTTTTTAGCTATAAAATAACATATCATATAAAAATTTTTAATTAATTGTTTTTATTTCTATTCATTGACAAGTTTTATTAATTAAAATGTAGCAACTAATTTTTATTTTTTATTTTTTATGTTGTAGTATTTTCTGAATTTTAATATTTAATTCACTTACTAAAATTAAATTTTATTGATTTGATGTTATAGTTTAAGGAAAGAAGATAATAAATTCTACTAAAAAAAATCTTTAATTTTTTGTTTCAGTTAAGGTTATTTTTGTTTTGTTTAATTATTTAAAATGACATATTTGTAAATTTTTCGGCAAATGTATTTTTTATAATATTATACTACTTTCTTTATTGAGAGTGTAGTTGATTTTTTAGTTTTCTCGTATGCCACTATTCAATGTGTCTTGTTATCAACAAATACTATTTAAAATTATTATTTAATATATGATATATTAGGAAAAACGTTCCGCTATATTAATTACATTTTTTTAATCAGTGTAAGACTTAATGGGACGGAGTGAGTATATAATATAATTTGAGCAAGAGAAGTAACGTTTTAAATTGGATAAACGATTCGATTTAGTTTTAAATGATTTTTAACTATTGAAGTCTAAACCACTACCTTTCCTATTGGCCGGTTCAATATTTCATAATTCATACAAAGTGAATGAGATGCCATTCTTAACCAATCTTGGTCGTTTTTGCCAAATTAACACGTAAAACTTGTGATCTTACAACGTACGTACACGAGTATATAAGTTGGGTTGATGCAAGAATTACTTCATTCATGTTTACTCTGTTATTTTCGTGCTAAAGTGTGACAGCCAGCCATGAATTGGCCCGTTTCCTTCTTACCATTTGATGTTCCTTCGATCATACCAAATCAAGACAAGTACATCGGTGTCATTGCGACTTTCACCACTTTGTACAACTTATTTTGCAGTCGTAAATCATGCAAACGCAATGCTGCCATTCACCCTATACCTATACCTTCACCCTCCACTCCGTCCCCTCCTTCACGACTACGGCCATAGAGAACCACAGAATTGCTAGCTACCGAAGATTTGAAGAAGTTTGCACGTGTGTTTGCTCATGGTGATTCATGCAATTATGTGACGTTGGTCTAAATGTTCCTCAAGTTTCGCTACTTCTCAATAGGATTGAAGCATTACTAATTTTATCTAAAGTTATTTTCGACTAAGACCTCTTTTCTACTTTGAGATTCCAATGTCTATAATTGTAGGGCCATCTAAAAGTTGAACGGGGAAATAAATTGAATTCAACTAGAGACAAAGTCAATACCCAGTAATAACAATCTTCGATTTGTGATTACAATCTTGTTATATGTACATTCTGATTTATACCGTTGCTTACCGAATTTACACTTAACACAATTTCACGTCATCTTTCACATCCCCCCATTTAATCCAACCAGTATAACACTTTCATCGTTAATCTGTCGACTAAGGTACCAACCAAGGCGTACAAATAGCTTAATCATTGTGATTATGATAGTGGCTCTAAACAAAAGAAAAGAAAAATGATAGAGGAAGAACGAGCGAGCGAACGAACAATTTTGGTAAATGACGGTCGCTCCGATAGTAACATGCTGCAAAGATTGATAGTTGGGTTTCCACAAACACCAAGAAAACCTGGGTGCACTCTATTCATAGACTCGAACATGGGACATTTCTACTATGAAAATTTGGAATAGCTCATAAAGTGCAAGCTCACGCCTCGTGGACGAGACAAGGGAATTCTTGCAATCTGAAAGAACGCAAAATATAACAGTGACCGAGGATTGCATTTACGATGTTTGGACAAAATCCAAAATCTGTCCTTGTATTCTGCATTTTAGCTAAGAACTATACGATTTCGCAAAAAGACCAGCAGAAATTGAAGTGTGCATCAACTAAGAATGAAAGATTTTGTTGAGTTTCGAACCCCTGACCTGCGTTTGCTTCCAACAAATGATTAAAATCGTGTTTACTTGGAATGATACTTTTATTATTAAGAGACTATGGCAAAGGTGTTTGTGGTTCTTTTGGACCATGCACTCTATTCATAGACTCGAACATGGGACATTTCTACTATGAAAATTTAGAATAGCTCATAAAGTGCAAGCTCACGCCTCGTGGACGAGACAAGGGAATTCTTGCAATCTGAAAGAACGCAAAATATAACAGTGACCGAGGATTGCATTTATGATGTTTGTACAAAATCCAAAATCTTTCCTTGTATTCGGCATTTTAGCTAAGAACTATACGATTTCGCAAAAAGACCAGCAGAAATTAAGGTGTGCATCAACTAAGAATGAAAGATTTACTCTACAAGATGTCAAAACTATCTGTAAAACTGCATCATCATTCCTTCACAGGCTACGCTTTGGAAGCCAGGTCCTTGATTATGTGCCCACATTGAAACCTGCAACGATATAAAAGTTCTGGTAGTAAACAGACTTGTCTAGTTTATTCTGTTATTAGGATATAATTGGAGAATTTGGAAAGTACCAAGAGGGTAGGAAACACTGAGAAAAAAGGAGAAACAAAAAGAGTAAAAGGAGTCACCGGTTGGATTACATTCTGTAAGAGTCGAAGCAAGGCCATTTAAAGAAAACTGATTTCTAGAAGAGAGAATTCTGGACTTCTGTATACAGAATAAAAGAAGAAAGTTGATTGTAGCATTACTCATCGCAAAAAAATTGAATTCAAACTAAAGTCAGTTATCGGCGGTAATTATGGGATTCCGGAAAGCGGCGGCCATTTTCCCGGTGGATATGAAGGCCGCGTTCTTCAGGGAATACCACTGCGGAGGAAATAGGGGATCAATACAGCGTTTTTGTGTTCTGTGGGAATGAGAGACGTTGGGTAAACATTTTTTACACAGTTGCTCTATATTTTAATTGAACTTTAGTCCTCAATTTTTATTCATTGTAGCATTAATGTTTCCAAATTTCACATTTTTATTCTCAAACCTTCCATAAATTATAATATAGAAAACACTTGTTAAAGAGAAGTCTGCAAATAGAGCACATAATTTTAAGTACTTATAAACCTCATAAAATAAATGAATAATATGAAATGTGTCAATAAAAAATATATATGTTTGGCAAACTTAAAAATTTATACTTTGTCAAATAGATTACATCACATAATAAACATTATTTTAGCTCTCTTTATCCGTAACGTCGTCCAAAATCCTCCGACCAAACATGTCATTATCGTGTATAGTCCATTACTTCTCTATTGTCAATATATGTGACACAATGCCAACAAAGCCCAAAAATGATTAAGCAAAATAAACTTTGTTCTCAATAAATTTAGAATCGACTAGGTGAATCCCTTTTTGCTGCTGCCTTCAATTCATGATTATAACTTAACTTGAAGATCTAAAGCAACATAATGCTTAGTTATTCATATTTATGATCATCAAAACCAAGAGATGTGACATAAACTTCAATTGAAATCTTTCTTAAAATTACAGAGTTGATAAGTTAGCAAATTTTCCACAAAAGATAGTAAAATATAAATGCATTTAAATGACAATCTCTAAGCATACAAAGGTATAACCCATATGTTTTAGCCACCCCTGGCTTCTCTTCTTGTGGCATCATGAAGCAATTCAACATCAACTCCCTCTGGTGGCAATTGGACATACCTCACCACTGATCCTCTGATGAAGCAATTCCTCACTGAAAGCTGTCACAGAGAAAAAAGATGAATGTGCATGTTTGACTAGCTTAAAAATAAGTAAAAGTTTCTTTATGTAACTTTTTTATTCCCAAGCACGCTTAATAAGTTACTTTTTCTCATTTTTTTGAAAAGGTTAGTTATTAGGA